GCACTGATTACCGCCGGTGACTCCTTTCGATTACCTTCCAATCACATGAATATTACCCAATTAAAGCTTGGAAACGTGTCAGTTCGTACTCGTTGATCTGCGCAACAGTCAAAGTCGCCATATTGTTTATATGAGACCCATATATGTAGCACATGCGCAGCGCGACGACTACCGCGCTTTAAGCAAGTATAGTGTTCACATTAATATTTTCGCCACTCGCTGAAAATATAAACTTGTCATTCTGTTGTCACGCAGAGTTCATATAGTGTTGTTTTATCATTGTAAGAATGACATGTTATTTGTCTTCAATTTCTTCGTCAGTACAAAGGATACGAATTGTTGTGTCTGTCTGGCCTGAGTGCCGTTCTTTAGTTCTTCTGAATTTCAGCTTTTCTAAAAACTCGATATGGAAAGGCGGTTGGGTTCTAGTCGAAGCTTTGTCTTATTTTATTCTTACCAATCCTTATAAAAATATTTATGACCTCACCGAGCCAGATCTAATCGGTAAAAAAGCGGTATATATTTGTTTCTAGGGATGAATTATGCGCAAATAACGTTGAATAGTCTACCCTCCGGTTGTATAATGCAGTGTCATCGCGTTTACAATTGGTGTTATGCAAAGTTGAACAAGTGTACTAAATCATGGAGCTTTCTTTTTATTTAGACCCATGAATGAATGGACTGTCAGAAACCTTTATTGAAGGACTCGTTTAATGCCTGCTGTTTCTTCGACATGGCGTTTTATTTTTTCGAGAGCCGTTTGAAAGTTGCCCTGTGTCGCTACGGCAGAGTTGTCGGTAACTACCCAATCCCATTTATCGTCCTCCCGCTTATGCTCACCTTTTCGCTCGCCGTGGGTGGATTTTATTTTACGGGTAACAATGACATCGAATATTTATTCACACCGACGAACGGACCGGCCAAGAAGGACAGAGATTTATTGGATAGTCTTTTTCCGATGAATTACTCTGGGGAATTTCTTGCCAATCGTCAGAGCGATTTCGGAAGATACGCCAGTGTTATTATTTACACGAAAAAGCAGATTGAAAACATACTCGCTGTCGACTCCCTGCGCGAAATATTCGAATTTCACGACTACATGACAAAAACGAAGGCAAGTATTGGGAGAGAAGAGTACTCATACAGACAGTTATGTGCCAAGTGGAAGACACAGTGTGTTGATCCAAACCCAGTATTAAAAATTTACAACTATACAACGCAAAATGTGAATTTTATCAACATATCGTACCCAGTAATGGCGGGCCCGGGAAATATATCATATTTTATCGGCGGCAGTCTCGGTGGTGTGCAGTTTTACGGCGATACCAGTATTGTTAAGTCGGCAAGAGCCATTTTGTTGTTCTACCCATTGAAACATTCACCGAATAACATCGATGAGGCGAGCGTAGAACTTGAGAACGAAATTACCAAAATGGCGGCTAAATACAAATGGACGAAAATAATAGTGACGTTGACGATGTCACAGACGCTGGCCAACGAACTCGATGACATCATCATACGAATGATACCAAGGTTTATAATCTCCTTCTTTATTCTGACGTCATTTTCCGTTCTATCTCTAATGATGACTGATTGGGTGACCAGTAAACCAGTACTTGGTACTCTCGGCGTGGCATCGGCACTGTTAGCTGTGATTTCGACTATAGGGTTGCTAAGTTACTGTGGCGTGCCCTTCATTCATCTCAACATTGCAATGCCATTTTTGACTCTAGGTGAGTGTATTACAAACAATTTTATTTCCGTGTTTCCATGTGCAATAGGGCGAAACCATTCTTAAAGACGGAGCTACGCCACGATCCCTCAAACGTTGCCAGGACCAATCCCAAACAAGAGTAGACAAAGAATTTTCTGATTACAGCAAGTCTCAGAAGTATTGGAGCAGCCAATTTGCAAACTCGCTAGCGAATTGGCTAACTGCTTGGGTTTTGACTAAACGGTTGGCTTTCGAATCTCGCTGGCGCCGTCTTGCGGTCACGCCCACTTAAGGCGAATCTATGTAACAGTAGGGGACGATCATCATGCTTTATGAGCTAATCAGCGACGGTCTTACAGTTGGATGGCGCTTTCGCTTTGAAATATACCAGGGAAAGTATTCTATGCTCTTCGGGTCCACACAAAAACGACGAATGAGCTCTATTTTTTCAGCGGTTGGCTTAATGTTACCCCAACGGATCGTTTGAGTGTGAAAGTTTGTTATTTCCTCCCTGATTTGTTGGAAACTGTTTCTCAACTTGTCTATTTAGTTTCAAGCAGTGTTCAAGAAGGTTAACCTCATATAATAAATATCGGTAGATTAATCGCATTTATAATATTATCACGCCAGCTGACTGTGGCCATTTTTTTCGGGCTCAAATCATTCAGGGGAATCCAGACATGTACCAGCCTGAGGATGCGTAAAAACATTCTATGTCCCCTAATGCAATATAGACTCGCCAAGAGTGGACGTGATCACAAACCAGCGCCAGCGAAATTCGAAAGCCAACCGTTTAGTCAAAACCAAAGCAGTTACTGTAGCCAATTCGCTAGCGAGTTTGCAAATTGGTTGCCCCAATACTTCTGAGACTTGCTGTAACACCTATGTTTTCCTCCACGCTAACCAACTCCCCACACTAACAAACAAATATTTTATCTTCTACTGATTTCCTGTTCCGGTCCGTCTTTGAAAACATCGACTGGATTTAACCGAAATAGGTGAGTCATCTTCTGATGAACAAACAACACCTTGCATGTTTTATGACAATGGTAATTTCTTTCCTGCAAATGAAAACTTTCGCTGTAAATCTGTTCAGGCAAACAATATAATGCTCTCTGGTGATAAAGCTCTACAGTTTTCATTTCCTAGATACTAGTATCCAGTTTTTTTTGTAGTCCACCATCTTGATTCTCCAGCAAAGGATTATGGTTAAGTATGGCGTCATAGGCACTGTTGTGAAAAACAGGAAATGATTTCATCTATAACTTTAAAAGTAAGACTTGAAATTGGTTCACAGTGTAGAACATGGTAACAATACATGTACCGGTGTCTACATACTTATAAAATAGTTGTCATTATGAAATGCTGAATTTTTCATGTATTTTATACAATTCATCGACGGAAGTAAGTTTTACAGGTTACATATAATATGTTGACGGCAAAAAAGTTTCATTCTATTTCAACGATCAAAATAAAGTTTATTTATTTATTTTACAATATCTGTACTTTTTGTATATTTGCAACATTCTACTTTCCATTATTATAATTACATGCAAGAGTAATATGCACATTGAAAATTTGAACCAATTTGCATCAGAATTTTTATTGTTATAGATGAAATAATTTTCTCAATTTTTCATAGCAGTGGCTATGATGCCACACTTTACCCATAATCCTTTGCTGGAGAATCAACATGGTGGACTACATAAGTAAAGTTGAATATCTAGAGAATGAAAAATGATGTAAAAGAACTGTAAATTGCATTATTCTACATTTGTGGAAGTGTCTGTAAAATATTACAGGTTACAAAATCCTATCAACAACAGCTGTCTTATCAAATATATCAGCGCAAAAAACCTTATTTCAACTATGCACTCACTATTTCAATTGATATAACATTTTAATTAACTGAGCTAATACCCGGACAGTCCTCAGGCTGACATTCTAACTAGAGACTGATAAACATACGGTGGATGACTGATGTAGTGCTCTGTAATGTGTGTTTTTTTTTTGTCCTAACCGGGAATTCCGGAATTTCAGTGAAACATGTTTCGTTTTCTATTTGTAGGAGTCGGAGTGGATGATATGTTTATAATGATAGCATCATGGCGGACAACGTCACCCCGAACCAGCGTACCTAATCGAATGGCGGAGACCTTCTCAGAGGCAGCGCTCTCTATAACGATAACAAGCATTACTGATGTATTGGCGTTCGGCATCGGAGCTATTTCAACCTTTCCTTCTGTTCAAATATTCTGTTGTTATTGTGGGGTTGCCATTCTATTTGACTATCTTTACCAAATTACTTTCTTTGGGGGATGCATGGCTTTAATTGGACGCCGGGAACGACAAAATAAACACTGCCTTACGTACGTAAAAGTGTTACCAAAAAATGAGTCTACGTCGCGATGTTACCGGTTATTCTGCGCCGGTGGTATTAGTTACAGCACAGATTGTGATGACGTGATTCAAGATCACTCAGTTATGACTTTTTTCAACAAATATTACGGCCCGTTTGTCACTTTGACGTGGGTGAAGGTGATTACGGTGATTTTATATGTTGCATATGTAAGTGTTGCTATTTTGGGACTTTTCCAGGTGAGTGAGGGGATACAGCTAAGACAACTCGCTCTTGAAGACTCTTCTGACCCTTACGGCCTGACATATTATGAACTTGAAGAACGTTATTTTAACGAATATGGACCAGTTATACAGGTCATTGTCACCACACCTCAAAATTATTCTAACATGGCTACTAAAA